GCACAGCTACTTTAGGGTGACCTACGACCAGTAGGCCGTAAGGTTATAAGCTAATTGTGGGTCACTGTGGATCGGTGCTATCAACGCGGTTAGTGTATATCTTGTTGGAATCGGTGTGCTAGCATTATGACAAACAAAAAACCAACTGTACATCGTTGTGCATGTAAGCCTTGCGGCGGACTATGTGCCACCTGTTCGCCCAGTGTTTCTGTGACAAAAATACATATATTCCATTGATAAATTCGAGCTCTTTGAATAGGGGAGTAACGCAAGATGACCTCGTGTGCAAACACTACACTCACTGGCTGCATGTTCGCCGCCAGTTTGTCCGTCTGAAAAGTACTCAACAGACGTATTTCGCCCATCATTTCCCTGTACAAGCCCAACGGCCTAAGCATAGCAGAAAACGGTTTACTTTACGCGAGAGCACACAACCGGTATTCTACTACCCATGGCATGGATGACTAGACAGGCGTGCCAAATCGGTTTGCTGTGTGTGCTTTATTGACATTAACAACGTCCTGAAAGCGTCAAAACAGCGCTGTCTGTTGCTACTGGACAGCTAGCGCTGCGTGTGCAGCTTGCAATTGGCAAGTGCACCCAACTGAATATTTTTTTGGATCCACCGAATTTCCGTTAGCTTTGGTGGCCGTCTGTTGTATTGACAGTATACACACTCGCAACGCAAAATAGTGTTGGTGATTCGATTACAATTTGCATGAAAGGAAACTACATAGTTTTCTTTCATGTATTCATTTAACGCTTTCTCAAACGTCGTACAGGATGAAAACTGGACGGAAACCCATTTCACAGCCATATCTAAAATTGGCACTGCAACTGACGAACGTATTTGCGTACCATATGCCGAGATACGGAATGCGATTAGATGAAAAAAATTCCGGGGAACTAAGGCAAATAATGGTCCTTTTGGGTGTGATCATACACACAGCAAAATGCCGCACTTATAAGTAAAAAAATTTCATTTCACATACTAGGGTTTCAAAGAAATAAGCATCTGTCGAATAAGAACCAGCAAAAAATTCAGCCTCTTCGGGAAAAGAGATCACAACTATTTCCCCAGAAGACTATTTCAGGAGACACAGAAGATGGGCAGATATTTCGCAAGATGCGAAACTACTGTAAAGAAAAAACCCATCAATGGGGCATATGAAGACAGGCTATGGAATTATCCTTTGCTTGGGAAATCAGAGCGGATAACCACGTTTTCATTGAGGTTCAGAAATAGGCAGCCTACGGGCAGATCGATAAAGTTACGGTAAGTCTACAGGAAAACCACTCACTCTATCTCTGTGTCATCACCACATCCAAAATTGGCAAGGGCTAATACGGATAGCCTCAGGCAAAACTGGTCTGCCCGGCATAGGATTTTTCTTGGTTCTTGCACAAAACAAACCCTTGAGCACACTGAATCCAGGGCAGGTTTACTTAAGGATCCTGAAGGAAATGATTCGCGCATCAGGGAACACCTCTATTTGATATTTTGTCAGTCAATTATTTAAAGTAACCTCCTGGGGGAGAAGGTTTGTAGGTTAGATAGGGTAGACGGTCGCTGGCTTGTTCGCTCAGCTGAGGAATTTGACTGCAAACGTTTCATCGACAACTGAGGTGACATCATCAGTGCGTTATTGGGGAGCGTAGTTTTGCGTAGCGGTGGGTTAGTGGTTGTGCGTTGAGTAGTGTTACGTGTGCGTTAATATACGTGCTATTAGTCGTGGATGAACTTTGACCGCTATTAGTTGTTCGGTCGGGCGGTTCAATTGGTTGCTCTGTTACCCCGTGTCCTCATTCGCCGATGTCCACGTGACCTTTGAGCTTGGCACCCCCGCCGTCGTAATCTGGCCGACATTGAGGTGACTTTTGTCTTTCCGAGTTCCGGTTTGTCACCTTTATTGATTTGATTCCGAGGAGTTCCTTGGTTCTTTGTTTGTGAATCCAATATTCGATGTTCCTTGGGTGTTCCGGTTGAGATGTTGGTCTTTTGCACGTAGATGTGCGTAAATTGGATCCAGTTCGATGCACCGGTTGATCGATTTTGCCTCGGGATACCATCCCTCCAGAAATTCTCTTTCGAGTCGCGTATCTCTGTATACTGAAATTTTTGCATTTTACAGATTCAATTTGTGGCCTTCTTGGTACTCGTGTGTAGATATCAAGGACATATGGTCATGCCTCCCGACAACCGCTTTGTGTTTGTCTATTCATGTGCATAATTTCCTCCCAGTTTGTCCAACGGAGAATTTGTTGCGGTCGTTGCAGCTGATTTGGTACATCACATTGTTCCTCTTGGGTTTGTCTCGGTTGTCCTTCGGTCTAGAGATTAATTTCCTTAGGGTAGTATTCGTGCGTGTGTGCCACGAAGATTCCTTTTTGAGCCAATAATCTGGTTGGGAGTTCTGATATATTCTTGATGTAAGGTAGGACTACCGTGTGGTGGCTTGTTCTTGCTGTTGCTGTTGTTGGGATGCCTTTTTCTTCAAGCCTCTCTCGATAAAACACCGTGGATATCCATTGTTCTGGAACACACTGAATAGATGGTTTTCCTCCTTTCGCAGTTCTGTGGTGCTGCACTGTGTCTGCGCTCTCTTGGACAAGGTTTGCACGCAGCTCTTTTTGTGGTTCACCGGATGATTGGTGTTGTAATGCAGTAGTTGATCCGTATGAGTCTCTTTAATGTATACGCACGTTTCTAGGGTCCCATCCAGCTGTCTGTTAATCAAAACGTCTAACAATGGTACCCGATTGTTTCTTTCCAGTTCGATTGTAAACTCGATATCTTCAAACACAGTTTTGCGCAGTTCATTTGTGTCGTGTACTGAATCCCATTTCATGATGACAAAGGTGTCGTCCACGTAGCGGATATACAGCGTTGCACTGATGACCGGCAGTATCGCATGCTCTAACCTTTGCATTGCCGCCTCAGCAAAAAATCTTGATATTGAGGATCCCATTAGAGTTCCTTTCAGCTGTTGACATATTAGTCCATCAAAGTTAAAATACGTATCCATGTAAATATCCAACAGTTTGTGTATACTTTCAGGTTTCATTGTTTCTGTCGTGTTCGAATTATTCTGAGGGAGTTCTGCTATGGTTTCCCGTGCGAGGTTGTGATTGATTGAATGGAACAGTGATGTGACGTAAATGAAAGCATGACTCCATCGTCTCCTATACCGAAGTTCCGTAGTTTGCGTAGGAATTGACTTGCATTTTTGGCTGTGTGTTCCGATCCAGAAATTAAGTGTTTCAGTCTTCTCCATAAGTCTTTTGAAAATCCGTAAGTTTGGGTTCCCGGAAGTGAAACAATTAGTCCTAATGATGTTCCTTCTTTGTGCACCTTTTTAGTCCGTAGAATTGTGCAACGTTGGTATCATCGGCTTTCATTTTCCATCGTCCCTGCCTGGTTATCCCCTGCGTTGCTCGCAGTTTCTTGAGCGTCATGTTAATTGGATTAATGATGTTTGAAGATGGAACATGGTCGTTTAGTTTGTAGGTCGTGGTGTCATTTAGCAGGTGCTTAGCCTTTTCAGTGTAATCTGGCTTGTCCATCATCACTGTGAAGTGCCTTTTGTCCGTCGGTAGTTTTACGACTGTTTCATTCTTTCGAAGATTCGTGAGAGCATCTCGTTCTTATTTGGAAATCGGTTGCATGTTTCTATTCCGTGTGATCGCTGGTACGATTGTCTATCGGATCTGTTGTTAAACTTCCTCGGACATTTAGTTTGTCTTCAGGGAGTGTTTTAAGCTGGCTAGGTAATCTTTGTAAGACGCGTCCTCGACTTTGAATTTGAGCCCCTTCATTAGTGGTTAATGTTCGGCTGTGTTAAGTCGGCTGGCAGATAAGTTCTTGATCCAAGCGTCAGAATTGTTTTGTTCGTTGTTCCACGTGCGCTTGCGCAATTTTGTTTGCATGGCTGCTCTACGCTTTATCTTGAAATTATCTACTAGGCTTTTGATTGCTATTTCGAGTACTCCCAAGTGCTGTGGACCGTTTTACTCTCGGTGAGTACTCTTTCGTATTTCCTAAGACGATTGCAAGCATCTGTTATAAGTAACTTCACCCTTCGTCTGCCATACTGTATTGCTAAGGCCCATGCCTGCGGATGGTCTAGTGCCGATCTGCGATTGGTACTGGGTGGTAGCGCATTCCTACGTAGACATTCATGGAGAGAGTGTAATTGTTCGCGTGCAGAGGCTTGGCGGCAGGCAACCTCTACGTGCAAAAGACCAACATCTCAACCGGAACACCCAAGGAACATCGAATATTGGATTCACAAACAAAGAACCAAGGAACTCCTCGGAATCAAATCAATAAAGGTGACAAACCAGAACTCGGAAAGACAAAAGTCATCTCAATGTCGACCAGATTACGACGGCGGGGGATGCCAAGCTCAAAGGTCACGTGTACATCGGCGAATGAGGACACGGTGTAACAGAGCAGCCAATTGAACCGCCCGACCGAACAACTAATAGCGGTCAAAGGTCATCCACGACTAATAGCACGTATATTAACGCACACGTAACACTACTCAACGCACAACCACTAACCCACCGCTACGCAAAACTACGCTCCCCAATAACGCACTGATGATGTCACCTCAGTTGTCGATGAAACGTTTGCAGTCAAATTCCTCAGCTCAGCGTAAATGTAGCCTTCTCTTTACTTGAGAGGAATTGATCGTCACGAAGATTTTTATATCTACCAACCACTTATTCCCCAGCAGCTCAAGGCCAGGTAGTTTCGTTAGCATGCAGTGCAAGGCGATAGAACGTTTTTCGAAGTGTGCAATCTTAAACCACCCCATCATAGATATATCCTCATTCCCGATTTAGCGAGTGAACGGTATCCTCGGGTGACGCGTGATACTGAAACCTTGAGAAAACAAACCAAATTCAGAGCTTGATTTCTATACAGTACTAATAACGTAAGACATAAATTCACAAATTATACAAAACTCGAAAGTAGATACTTGGACTTCAAGAGGACGGATAAAATGAGCAAACGCACTCCCACGTGAGACAGTCAAAACTGCACCAAGTTGGCAATAGATGGCTGCATGACCTCAAGTCAAATGAAGTGAAGTGATAAGGAAAAACAAACGCCAGTTCATCTACACGCACCAAACACGACAGTGGAGTGGGGCTACAAATGAGAACAGAATAAACGCGGGGGATTTCAAATGTCAGCGCAATGGATGACACACCTGGAACAACATAGATTCCTCGTTAATCGTTCTTGCATGACAAACATGCTCATGTTTATAGTGAGCCTAACGAAGGGACCACTTAGGTGCTTTTCAAAAACAATCGATCAAGTCGTGCACATTCGATATCTCCACAATACCGAACCGCCTGTTATTCGAGGATACATTATATGGTATTA